CTCCTTCGCGGACACCTGTGCCCTGGCAAGAAACTAATCGAATGCGATGTACACAGAAGGATTCGAGGCCTTTCATTTGCGGAGTACGGAGGGGCGGATCACGCTAATCGACTCTCGCGGCACGCGCTACATCCGAACAAAATGGTGACATTGAATTCGACTCGGCGAGCAATACACAGCGGTACAGAATCACGACACACAGTGGCTAATTTCATAGATCCGGGTGGACAAAATGAAAATATTCATGTTATCGAAGCAGCCCCAAATCCTATAAATTTATTTCATACATACTGTAAAATGCCTAACTTCATGAAAATCGTTTGATTGCTAGGTAAAATAACATTGTATTCATTCATATTATACGGACAATTTTTTTATGCCGCTAGGTTATTTAAGCCAGAAACTATTATACATTTATCAAATATTAAATGTCTTTTGTGTTCTGTGATAACTTTTGCTATGGTTAATAGAAAAGGTAGTATCTAGTTTGTTATACGTTTATTAGTTTGTATTTATTACATCAGTACATGCTATTAAAGGAGATATCTTTAGCATGTTAGAAAATTTTGTAAAATTTTTAATTTAATTAAGTGTACCAATTTGATTTCCGTTTTATTCTTTAATAATTCTTTAATTACTTTAAGGAACATATATTGATGTACTAATATGGCCAAAATTTGGTTGCCCCAACCTGTTCCTGTAGCTTTTATATGTATTTTCAGGAAGCTATGTTGTATAGTCCGGGCCACAATATAACGAGATCGTAAACTAAACTCTTGAGGTTTGGGACCGACTACTGCTGTAGCACTTAGGGCCGTACATTACATCTTGCTTGAGAGTGCCTTTCTGAATGTCTTTTTGTGTCCGTAACTGCACTACCTTTTTTCATTTTATACGTGCATATATTATAAGCATAAATTAAGATATTCAAGACTTGAAGACCGTTAAGTAAGACCTTTACCTGTTACGATACCTCTAAAAGTGGCGACATTAGATAAAACATTTCTTCGTACGGCCCTGACTACGGTCTAAGGTCCTTAGCTGCTCATATTTCTGTCAATTCACTTGTTTTGGGAGCTGAAACGTGTAAACTTTGACACCGACTCGAGTTTACGACCTCGCTATATCGTGGCCCGGACTATACTCTCTTCGAGATATGAACATGTAGCGCTGCGTCGCTGCAGTTAGGAACTTGTGGGAATCGTAGGAGGACTGAAAAGGAAAAGAGGGGACTCGTCAGTAAGGCTTTCTAGCAGGCTCTGCCTTAGACGACTGGGATGTTGGGAAGTTGTTCGAGGAATATACATATATACATTATGTAAAATAAGTACCCGGAATTTGTAAATAAAACTCAGATTGCTTACGTAATCATCCAAATTTATTTCGTCGTCTTCAAAGTGGGCCCCATCAGAAGCAATGCGCATACACCAACGCTTCTCCCAGTCTTCAAAACACTTTTTAAACGCTGAAGAAGGTAGCATCTTCAGCTCCTTCTGCGAATTTTCTTTTATGACCTCTATCGACTCAAAATGTCTTCCCCAAAGGGGTAATTTGAGTTTCGGAAATAAGAAAAAGTCACAGGGGGCCATATCTGGTGAATACGGTGCTTGTTCGATTACATTTGTTGAATTGTTGGCCAAAAATTCGCGTACCAAGATCGATGTGTGCGACGGAGCATTATTGTGCTGCAGGATCCAAGAATTGTTTTTCCACACATCTTGCCGTTTCGGACGAATATTTTCACGCAAGCGTCTCATGACGCTCAAATAATATTCTTTACTTACTGTTTGTCCATTTGGAAGGAATTCCGTTTGGTTCATTTTCTAAGCGATATTCCGAAGATTGTTGACTTGTTTGCATATCGTACCCATAAACCCATGTTTCATCACCGGTTATGATACGTTTCATGAAGGTAAAGTCACTAGAAGCTCGTGAAATCATGTCTTCAGCAACTGTTTTTCAACGTTCATTTTGTAGAAAATTCAGCCACTTCTTGAGCCACCTCTCTAACACTCAAGCGACGATTATCGATGACCATTTTTTTTATCTTTTCGATGTTTTCGTCGGTCGAAATCATTGACGATCTGCCGGCACGCGGCAAATCTTACACTTCTTCTTGGCCCTCTTTAAATGCCTTGTACCATTTGTATGTTTGCGTTTTTTATAGGCACCACTTACCATAGGCTTTCTGTAATATTTTTAACGCTTCGGCACAAGAAATTTCGTTAGAAACGCAAAATTTAAAGTAAATTCTTTGCTCGACAGTTCTTTCCATCGCAAAAATCGCAGAGCACACTCGAGATCGACTAGTGTAAATAACTGCCGTGAATACTGTAGAGAGCTCTTGCAATGTGTTGCACGTCGAGAGCTCTTCTTGCACGTCTGTTGATATGCAAGGCGTTGGTTTGTTGTAGTGGACTGTATTTCTCTTGGACATGGACCCTCTCTCGTTCGTACGGCGTTGTGTGTGATGTTTCGACATTTTGTAATTTGTGTCTCTTGTATGCTAAATCTCGCGCCTTATATCCTAATGCAAGAAGCCAGCCGCATCCAATCAGAACCCTTTTCGTTCGGGATTGGTACGCTGATACTTCTTGCATTTCGTGTTCGCGAGGGTGGACCGCGCGTCCCAGGTGTCGGGAAAAACCCTGGCCCAACGGTGAGGACCAGTCGCGAGGTCGCTGGAGCGGGCCCTTTATGGCGGTTATTATGTGATTTAGTTTACATTGACACTAAATACATTTAGCTAATGGCTTGTAGCGTCAATGTAAACGCTGAATTGCCATTATAAATGGAACGACATGTTTCGCGACGCAACAAACACACTGGTTGTCATATTGCGATCAAATTTAGCGTAACGATTGAATACAATATTGCCTACTTACACACAAAAATTTGTTTCGATACATGCATTGTGGGATTTGAAAGTGAGAAATTCCGGGAACTTATTTTACATAATGTATATAGCAACCGAGGGGTCGGTCGAGCGCTTGTGAGAGTGCGAACCCCTCTGGTGGCGAGCATGGGAGGCGACGCCATAAACATGAAACTGCATTCATACATTGTTAATTATTTTGATGTCGAAAATGCTGAAGAAAGAATATTGAAAATTGTTAGAAATAAAATTATAAATTTTTGTTATAAACTTTCTGAAAGATGGAAAAGATGTAACCGCACGAAAGAGAGGTTCTTGTATAACAATGCGGAATGGTTAAAAACAGAAATAGAATTTCGAAATCCTATATCATCATCATCACCATAACTATTATTATTATTATTATTATTGTTATATTACGATGCGTTTATATTATCGTTAAAAACCGTAAATATGTATTAAAAACAGATAGTGACAAAAAATTCATGTACATGTTTCTTAAGAAATTTGTCCATCTAGATCGTTTAAATTGCCCACTGTGCGACAGTTCGCCAATATTAAAAAAGTTCGAGCAACGGGGCGTGCAAAACCTCGAAAATATCGAGTCAAGGCTAAACGAGAATTTCATTCGAGCGCAAGACGAAATCTCGAAAGTTTATATTGTTCCCAGGGATGTTAAAAATTTCGAAAATCTCGAGTTTCGCTGAATACCATATTTCAGATGTTTCGGTTACACTGCCAACCAAAAAGATAGCACCAGGTGTACTATTCCCAATAGTATATGTATATACAGAGTGTTCATCCTAATTTATTAATTTTCATTTACACTAACCTGACAAGAATGATATTTGGAATATAAATTAATGGGTAGTTCGAGGAGAAAACAAAGTGCAAGCTCAAAAACTCGGGTCATCTTGACTTTTTTAAATAGTACTATGTAGTTTTTGACTTTATAACGTTATAGCTGATGAAAAAAACAAATTCAATATTACACAATTACCTTTGAATGAATTTTAGCTTAGAAATTCGCAGTAATTGAAAAAATCATTTTCCTCAATTAATTAAATTTAAATAAATAAAATTCATTTTAATGCAAAATTAAAGTTTGCATTAAATTATTCTAAAAATTTTCCCGAACCGAATACATGTAAATCTCTGACGGCCGCTGTCACGTGTACGTGATTTCACTGTTTCAATTATTATATCATCTTTTCAACTTCTTATGTTTGTTCAAATTTAAAGTTTTATCTCGTATACTTATTGTGATATTCCTATACTTACAGCACCTTACATTCGTATGAACCTTTTCCAACATTTTGATGCACTGAATTCAATTTCATTCTTTGAAATAATGGACACTAATAATAATACAGCGTATTAACACTAGAACTACCAAACCAGTCAAAATGACCCATTCGTAATTTCTAATGAAACTTGTAAAAAATTTACTCGACTGAATTTTTGAAAATTTATCGTAATTTTCTATAAGAGAATATATAAACACTTATTTCCATTGCATTATATATTTCTTCGCGTATCTATCGTTTCAATTTCTTTGGTCCAAATAAACACACTATAATTGTCGGTAGTTCTAATGTTAAGATGTTCGTATTATAGAATATCTTTCTAAATATAAACTCATTTAAATAAGTGATTGTTTAATTGATAATTTTAAAAAAGTATTAAATCAGTCATAAATAGTAATTTTAAAACATTGGATATTTAAATTTTCTCATAGCGACATCTTTCATAACCTCCTAGGCGTATCATGTGACCCTTTCTTAAACTCCATTTGTATCGTGCATTTTAATTGTTTCAAAACCAACGTTTACATTAAACTTCCTCGTGATAAGAACGAAACAATATTTGTATGCATCTACGAAAACCATACTTTTCCAGCGGCATTGTTTTTGCACAGCCTTGATCTCAAGGCCTCGATAAATTTCAAATACGTTTACACGTGTTGTAATCGTCAGCAACGAATTCATAAACAGGTACGAAATAAAAGAAACAAAAAACAGCTGCCACGCATAAAAACTTTTGCATAATTGTCCTGAATTTCGAAACTTCAACACCGTCTACTCGTTGCACATCTAATAACGAAAAAAAAATGTTGCGTACTCACGTTTGAGAGATCGTGGCTTTGCCTGCTTCCTTCTGGACATAGTAACGTGAAGCGTCACTTCAGCGGCCGGATCGCAACGACAGATCAGCAAGAACAATTCAGTCACATTTCGCACTTTCTCGGAACACGATACGTTCGCGCACTAAAACAGCGTTTATCGAAAACCGCACCGTTAACAAAACTATCAACAGCTTTTATCGAAACGCACACTGTTAACGAAACTTTATTGAGAACGACGTAGTCGAACAACGACATCGTATGAATTCAAACAGAGAAAAAGTCTTTGGTTACACGCGCGTCGTAACCATGACAACGGAGAGTAACATCTCCAAGTCGAGAAAGCTCGTTACACGAACGACTCTCGGCCGCATGACGGACAAATTTCGATGGAAACGCGAAGGATGGATCGTTTCCCCGAAACTGCCGTTCGTGTACCGGAAACCACGTGGTCCCGCCGTGGCGAAAACGCGTATACATGCAAATGTACCACGATAAGGAAACAACTAGCGCGCCCGAAAGTCGCGCAACGAATGACAGCGTATCTGATACCGCAGCAAGGCTGACGCAGAGAACCACTGGGACGGCATTGCGCATGCGTAACATTTGCTGATAGCGGCCCTGCGCAATACTTATATCCCTTTGGTATAGATGCAATGAGTTTTTACGATGTCTTGCAAAAGGAATGAACTTTCTTGGATACCATTAGGAATAATAAGAAAATTTTTTTTTTACGTTACAGAGCTTGCAATTTCGTAGGATATATTGCGTCATTACCAGATTTTAAAATGCACAGTATAAAGGACATTTTTCGTTACATTTAAATAAAACGTGAAAAGATATTTCAGATAATCATTAAAATTTCAAACACATCTCATAAAAAATATAAACATTTGTACGATATTTTATAATTTTCAAAATAGATGGTTGCCACTCATAAGAATTATCTGATAACTACATTTGCATAAAAAAAAGAATTTTGTCGTAAAAAAAAATATATTTTTTACGGGTCAAACAATTTATTCAGACAGTAAAATTTAAAAATACAAAATAGTATCTCTTACGGATTCTTATGTAATAACGATTCTCTGTTTTCAATAAATTCGTAGATCTTTCATTTGAATACACTTGATGATATCGCAATTCACGAGAAAAATTCCTGTATTGCCGACATTAAAGAATCAGCAGAGCCTCCACGCAAACAGAAAATAAGTTCATTGTTATGACAGTTTGATGACTGTCTTCACTTTGTTTCACTCTCAACGAGATTAAATTATGAACTTTACTCGAATTATTCAACTCCCTTCATTATTCGTTGATTGTATGTAAATCCGTAACACTTGTTACGTTTAACGCATTCGTCGTTTCAATTTTCTTCGAACAGGTTAGTACGCAGGCACATGCATATGTAGCCGTTTCTTTAAAAATACTAAAAATAACAGAAGATATATTTGATCCCTGATTTTTTGTATTCATAGATAAAACATGCTCTTATTGGAACGTATCCCAGATCAAATTGGATATTTGATTTTAACAGAGGATGGGGCTGTATTAACGGTAATTTTGCTTTATACGACACTAACAGAAATGATTGCATAGATTGGTGGATGCTTTCTAAATCTGACGTGTTAATTAGAGTAGTAAAATAAATGATGCTGTATCCTTTCAGTCTGGTGGTGAATTAGAAAATGATGAAAAAATTGCAAACATTATTGTGGGTTTAGTCACACTGACTAATAAAATCGATTCTAAAGGATTTCCCAACAACGAGGCATTTGATAAAATATCCATAACATATCCTGACCATTGCTACATCATTTGCCTTTCAAATAAAAAGATACATGTAGTAAAGAAGAGATTGGTTTCTACAACTACCGCAATTATGGAACAGCAACCTATTATCGATGTATAAATAAAAACATTGCAAAATTGTATAGAAATAAGATAGTTTATAAATATACAAATATGAAGTACTTTCTGATAAATATAACAAACTTTTGCACTTAGAATGTAATTCATAAAATAATGCAAAATGTCTTTAAAAAATAAGCTTATAGAAGTCTTCCCAGAATGAAAACAAAATAATATAAATGAAAAAGATGAAAAAAAAATTTATTATTATAATAAAGATTTCTACCATTTAGTAACCTTTAACTCATTATTAAATTCGATGCTAAAGTTTAATTATTGATTTTCTAATATACCACAATAGAATAAAAAATTGAATTCTGTAAAATGTAATAATATATTTTTGTTTAAACTAAGTAGATATTATAATTAATTTCTTCATAAAAAATAGGATATAGCCAATAATTGCCTTGCAACATTATTTAAATAATATTAATTATATAAATTTTTTAAAGACAGATTATTACAATTTGAAATTTACTCGTACAGCAAAGTCCTCAATTTTTAAGTAAATTTTACTAATTCGAGTCAATAATAAATTTAAATAATTTCATAAAAGTAATCCAACAGGTATTGTAATAAACGATGTTACGATTTGTATATGTATCAAAATAATAATATAAATGCAACATGTACAAAACTCATTTCTTAAAGGCAGTAAAATAGTTGAAATGAAGAACAACGAAGATTATACTATGTTGAAGGAAGAGGATCCTCTAACACGGATTAAGTGGAATGAAAATGATTGGTCAAAATTTGGAATATTCAGCTATTAAAAAATGTTATTTTAAAATTATTAAATTGTATATTACATGGAATGCATCATTGTAAGTGGAGAAAACAAAGGATTAAAGAAGCAACTTATGTTAAACACACTATGTCTGTATGTAACAAGGAATTACATCTGCCTGCTACATCACTACTAATTTCTAATTATTATATATAAATATAGTACATGTTTAATAAACAAAATAGTAGAAATTGTATTAATTACACACACAATTTACAATATATTACATATTTTATAAATAAAGAATACTATGAATCATTATCCGAATCAGAACTATCATAAGTAACTAGCGATGTACTGGTAACTGTTCTTGATGTATGTTTTGGCTTCAACTCTGGAAGTTTTGGTGTTTGATCTTTCTGTATCTTGACATCACTACTTAACGCAGGATATGATGCTTTTTTTAATTCATTTCTAGAACGCACAATAGAAACCAATCGTTTCAAAGGATTGTGCCTACTTTTTTGTTCTCCTAAAATATATAAAATAAATATTGTGATAATTTTGATCAACAAAAGTCAACTTCTGAATGCTAATTTTTAAAAGAGTACGTTATTTATATTACCTTTTTTATGCATTAGTAACTTTGCCAACTTCACATCATCTTCATGTTCATTCACTAAATCAATATTTAAACCACTTTTTGTAAGTAACATATGATCAATACCTTGCCTTTTCTGTAATTCCTTTTTCCTAGTCTAGAATGTAAACAATTTAACAGTAAATAATCGTTAAAACTTTGATAACAGTTATAATGGCACTGAAAAATTAGTATATTTAACAGTTATCATACCCTAAATGCAGAGCGCAGTGCACAATTTGAAGTATAATCATCTTTCCATGTAGCTTCTTTCAATGCTATTGCATTTTCCAACAAAGAATCACGCGACTTTGCTACTTTTTTATCTTCTATACCATGTTCCAATTTATACATTGCATCATCATAAAGTCTACACGATACTTCTTTTGTTTCTGGTACAACTTGTTCATTTTCTTTAGGATCCCACCGATTTTCTTGCCGTTTTGCACCACTTACTATCACGTAGTCTAAATTCTAGAAACAAAATATTTTCATTAGAACCTGTATAACTTTAAGTTGTGAATATTTTATACAAAATATCTTACAGCTGGATCAGTTTTTATTTCAAAATGATTATCACAAAGATGACACTTCATGCGAAACTGATATAAGGGCGTGCTATAATACATCCCAATTTTTTTCTTTTCTGCATTGTAACGAACACCCATTCCTATGTGATTGCCGCATCCTTCGCACCATATATTATATGGCATCTCAAATCTAATAATAAGGATACCCATGTGGAGTTTACGTGCTCTCTCACGTAACGCATGGGTACCAAGAAATTTATTGAGTCCACCGACACGAGGATCGTAATCCGGTGGGTAATACAAATTTGTTCCTTTACGTTCTCCCATTGTTCTAAAAAATTGAAAAAATTAACAAGTAAAAAACGTAATACACAATACAAAATTTGTACTAAATATTGTCTTTTAAACTATATTGGTTCTTTACTGAATTGTTTATATTTGATATATTAATCTATCTCAACTCTTAATAATGCAATGAATGAAAACAATAAAATATCGATAATATTTCAATCACATTACTAATATATACATCAATAGTTTAATATTTATAATTCATACCTGGTGTTTTTATTTTGTACTTTAAAAGACTAAAACTTCGTTTACTTATTTGGTGTGTCTAACCTCACTTAGCATATACATATACTCTCCTTATGCACAGAAATCAATTAATTCTACACATTAAGAAAATGGCACATTAATGCATTCTCTTCGTCTTGTCAGTAGACTTCTAGTTGATACGCAAATGAAATACTAGATAATGTTTTTTAAACTTTATAATGAATTTTCGATTCAATCAACAGATTATCATTATTAAATACGTACATTTATCTATATGTCATTTAAATAAAGTATGTAAAACATTGGTTATATGTATCAAAATGAGGTATATGCGGAACTACGAGCTCCGCATAACCAGTGTGACCGATAACATAATTGAGTGCATCGACGACGAAACCAGTGATGGACATTCGTGGGAATTTTTCCTCGTGGGATTCCTTTCTGCGCATACGTAAACTGATTCATAGCTATCTGTCATCCGCTACCATAGATGTATCTTTAGTGCAAAAAGAGGTGCATGTTGGGAATTCCCATGTTTTGTACAAAATTGAACTTTCTACCTCAAATGCTCGCCAATCACACAAAAATTAACTTATCGAAGATCCCCTACATATTTCTCTAGCTATACTCATGTAGATTAAGAGAAAATTGTTTGTTTTTGTCTCTTTCCCTGTAACTTCCTTAAATTTTGTTCCTTACTGGGATCCAACGGTACCCTAAATTCTAGTTAAGTGTATACGGCAGTGATCATGCGCTCCAGTGCGCATGACCAAAATTCCCACGAATGTCCATCACACTTTCGCCGCGAAACTAGTAACGACGAACTACCTTAGAGTCTAACAGAGTGGAGGGGAAAGCCCTACCGCACGAGCTACATGTTACGATAGGTCAGCACTTCACGCAACTTCGGAAAATCGATTCTGGAAAAATTATTTTCAGTTACGGGGGTCAATTACAATCATTTTTAGTCGATAGACATACCCCCGAAATCCTACGTACTTTCGAGAAAAAAATTTACCGAAAATATACTGTGTGGTCGGAAATGTTTCTATAACTTTTTAACGAAGTCTCAATCAACAAATTAGTATCCTAGATTTTCGTCTTATTTTGGCCTCTAGAATCTCCCATTAAAATTTTTCCAAGTGGTGGTTGAACACCCTGTATATACATATGTTCATTTATAGGAATAATGAAAATAATTTCTTTTTTGTCAATAGTTAAAACATGATCAGGGGGTCTTAAAACATGTATTTCCGTGTAAATTTTTAATACTGTGCCAATACCTATGTTCAGCACTGTACACCATTCATTAATAATCTACCTTAAATCTTATACAATTATTGACATATAAAATGAGGTTGTGTGAAGTTTGATAATAAAGAAGAGTCTATTAATATTTAATAGCTAAATCTACTTTATTTTCTTATTTTTGTTGTGTGTAAACTGTCATTATATTTAAATACTTGTGTAACTGTTATTTGTTTTGGTAAATGTATTATAATTCACTGTATCGTGCCTTGTAAATTTAAAATGGAATTTTGTATAATTCCTTCATTTAAAACCGTATCTCATATTGAGTATTCTATTCCGATCAAGATCTTCCGCATTCGAACCTCGAATTTCTCTTAAACTTCCTCTACGCAGTTCAATTTGTATCAAATACAACTACACAAAATTTTCCTTTCAGGTCATTTAAGTATATTTTTTACTATCTTTGTGTTAAATATTACTTGTCATTACCAAGGCATAAAACAGGTATACTATTTTGTATAAAATTTTTGTCTAGTCGTAGTTCATAAAATTCTTGTAAATTCTTAGGAAGTGGTTCAAAGTTGTGATTGACCAAGTCTATCGCGTATAATAACATTTGACGAGATACAAGAGGCAAATCTTTTTCGATTAATATTTGCCTTGATATAACCATTAATTTATCCATTTCCTCTTTACAGTTTCTATATATATGTTTCCCATGAACAATTATCTGAAATCACAACGTAAATTAGTCAAACAAAGAGGATAAATAATATTAAAATTTGAAATTCAAGTACATACTTGTTCTGTGAAAGTTTCAATTTCCTCTGGAGAAGCTGTTTCTAATAACATTTCCATATAATCTAATAATGCTAACTGTAATTTTCTGAACAAGTCTCCAAAAGATAATACATATACAAATCTAGAGAATAAAGAAACAATATTACAGAATTGCATTGTTGTAGTCTCTTCTCTCAATTCTATTCTTCCTAAATTCAAAACATAACAAAAAAGCTTAAATTAATTGGTGAATAAATTCACATTGTGCTTCGTAACATTTCAATTTGATATAAAAAAACATTACATACTGTCATATTGATTTTGCATCTTACTTATTAAAAGTTTCCATAGAGAGCTTTTAAACGTAAGATTCTTATAATAGAGTAGAATTATTTTCATACCAAACTCTCTATTGTTCACAGCGTGTTCATAAAGCTTATCATTTATCTCTCTACAATTAGTTAGATTAATTAAATTAATTGAAGTATTTTAAAAATCATTAATATAAATTACAATAAAGAATGCATTAAGCCTTGATATATTACTCATAATGGTCTTCTGTGCAAAGCTGTGCAAATTTTTTAGTTTGTTCTTCCAAATTTTCCACAGTGATATGATCGATAATATTAATAAGATTAGCAAAATCGATATCCTCAGAACATAATAACTTTCCTGGTTTAGATAATGGATCTTTATCACATTGGGCCCATCCACGACCACGACCACGACCACGACCAATTGACATCATTTTGTCTTTAGAAAATTTTAATCTGGTGAATGAGAAACAAATGGTAATTCTTTATAAATGAGAGACAAATTATAATTCTCTGTATAAAATATACATTAATAAATATACAAATTATGTAAACATTTTTATAAATAATTGTAAATTATTATTCTATTGATACCTGGCTTCAATAGTGTTTGTGACTGTATTAATTAGAGGTTGAAGCACATCTAAACATTTGTTGTAATACGGATAAATTCTTTTTAAATCCAATGTACTTCGTACATCAATTGTATATATTTATATTACATTAAAACCGTAAACTACAGTATGAACATGCTTACTTGATATTTCTTTTGTTTTTGTTGCGTCCCGATCGGCGGTCTAGGGGGATAAGGAGGTGGGTTGGTGCCCGTGGAGCGCTGAACGCTCTGCTCAACGAGGCGGGCAAAATAAAACAGAAAATTTTCGGTGTAACTTCAACGATTTTATTTATTAACAGCCAACTTGGTAAATTTTCGATTATATCGGAACTTTTCGATTATTTTAATGTTCGCTCTACTCTCTCGAGAATTTATCTGATCTTCCTCGAAAATCTTCTCGTGGTTCTCGGCGTTTGTCCCTTCTTCAGGAAAATTTTAGATCCTCCCTCAGAATTGTCCTGATCCAATAGAAACTACCCCCACTGACACACACTAATCACAGCCATGTGTATGTATTCCGGCGTTTCGGACTAGTTCGGACAGCTTCGGAAAGTTGAATAAGAAGTCAAATGTGCGCCTTTCAACCAACTTGTATATTTAAGGGGTACTGACTAGGGGTTACCCACTTACCCGATACTTTTAACATTTCACTTGGTCGAAACATTTCGCTCATCTTCTATATGTAAAGGGTGCTCGTCGATTGAAAAGTTTTGCCTACCTTTATGTTTAAGGGGTACTAATACTAACATTGACAACATTGCCTCTGTGGAGAGGTTCCCGAAATTGGGATAACGAACATCAAAGGTTCCGACCAGAGATGCCAGAAAAGCACCGTCGGGTGCACACGCACACATGCCAGATACGCGTACGTGAGCTCGTGGAGTTTCGGAAAGTCGACAAAGGCAAACTGACGCATGCCCTCTTTCTCGATTCTCCGAAGCTGCCCGAAGTAATTTCAGATCGCATCGTGGGAGTCGAGAGAGAAAGGCTCACATTTGCCTTCTCGCTCTAAACAACTGAAATCCGACCTCCCGTCAACGGCATACGATTTGGATTCTCGAGCCGAGATTCTCGACTGCCCAGGCATTTTTACTTTCCGACCTATGTAGGCGCACATAAGCAAAATACCCATAATGAAAAAAAAATTTTGTAAAATTTATTTTACGGAAATACACGTTTTAAGACCTCCTGATCATATTTTAATTATTGAAAAAAAAGAAATTTTTTTTATTCCCATGTATGAGCACACATATGTATATTATTAATACGATTGAATATAAATAGCTGAATGAATTTAAATGAAACTTTACATTTAAGTTTTATGTTCTCATTTCAAAGGCGTGTGGACGGATTCAAATACGTGAACACTAAACGTAACGATGTAATTATATTATTTAATATTTACTAACTATTTAACATAAAGAACATAAAAGAAAGACATAAAACGTAAACGTAAAACTGTGATTGCTCTCGACTAACGTTCGATACAGAGTGACGTTCCTGCAGTCAAAGTCGACCCTTCCTTATTCCTATCTTATAATAATGATCTAAACAAAACGCACGTTCGAGACGCAGTCTCTAAAACGTATTTCAGCTTAAACCTAAACACCTCACTCGATACCTACTCTAGCTTAGACTAAACACTCCTATCGACGCAAACGATAACGGTTCTCCTAGCCACACACATACACTCCTTACAGATTATACCTCTTGTTTCATAGTTGTTCCGATATATAGGCATAATTTATAAAAAATCTTTTAAATGTTTCATATAAATCTTAGGACGAATTAAATTTTATATAAAAAAAATTATATAAACTTTTTCTCTATCTTCTCTAGAAAAGAAAACATTAAATGAAATCTTATACATTACATGCTTACTTAAATCGCATTGAAAACGAATACCACAAATGTTTTAGAATAATGTGCAAAATGTGATTGCGACTTTCGCTAAGACAAATTGAAAACTCGTTTCTAACAAGGAAAAGTTGGAATGGTACCAGGTTTTGGGTTAGGTTTTACTTTGAGATATTATTAAAGTTATTACAGGTACTTATTTTCAGAAATAGAACTATGTTCACCACTAATTAGCGTGGCGTGAGTGATGAGGTCTTTGCCTGCAAGTTCCGAACTTCTGCTCTGCTGGTTCGAACCCTGCCTTGAACTTTTTTTTTTTATTTTTTCAATCATACTTTAATCGTACACTAAATATGACATTATATTTTTGTCTGACCTTCGAATATTTTTTTTTAAAGTTAAATTTAACCGATTACATTTAACATATGTTATTTTCAATGTACGAAGTACATGAATCTGGATGGTACTTTTCACAAAAACAGTCAAAACATAAAAATTTCAAACACCACGTACATTTACTGAAAGTTTTGTTTTCACAGAAATAACAAAATTTTGTATTTAACTCTGATGGAAAGACCGCTTCATTTACATTGATAAAATGTGAACGATTTTCGGATAGTCGTACCTTGTAGCTCGTACTTTTTACCTTATACTTCAGGTAAAAAGGGATATAGCTGGGAAAAACAGTTTTATGACATACCTGCTAACTTATGTTACTGTTCTACAATGAAACGCTATGTTTTGTACCTTTAAAAATATTCGACTATGTCCTTTTAAAATTTAAGATACAACCCATACTTTGTATTAAACTGGCAAACGGGATCACTTTTCCTTTGTTTCTAGTTAGTTCTATTTAGTTCGTCATAACAAATTGATACGGTTATCTCAAAACAATCGAGGAAAATCATTATTAATTTGTAGCGGTCATTGTATAGCCACTACGCCCTTGCCAGAGTATGAATGGGAATGGAATGTAAGGATAGTTTTAAGCTTTCTATTTTTCCATTTTCCCAGGGTCTCGTGCGAGCCTGGTCGTCCTGTTAAACACTTGGCGACCAGAGCCGTGCGAGGCGTCTGTTTTCCCTCAAGGTTTCGCCTGGGCCTCGGACCACCCTGATCCGGGCCCGGCGAGCCTCTTGACTTTTATGACTCTCTTTCGCTAAACTTTTCCTACACTGAGTATTTTCCAGTTTCGTTTTTCCGTCTTTCTGTCCTGTCTCTTTTTCTCTACCTTTGCTATTAGGGTAAGAAATTGTATATATTCAGGGGACGTGAGAAGAAAACCCCCAGTCTATTTTAGACCCGAGTCTGGCTAAGACGTCGCGCGTTTGCGAAGCCAGTGTTATTAACTTTGACCTACGTGTGGCTACACCCCCGACACCCGCGGAAATAAACTCTTTAATAATTGTTGGGGTAGATTGAGGTTTGTCACTTGAACCTCCAGCCCCCTCAAATTAATTTCTGCAATTATTAATTCTACTGTTTTGTTTGTTATAAAAGTAAGTACTCTTCTTATTGAAAAATACCACAGCGTGCTCAATACTGGTAAAGAGTGGAATCTCATTTTAATTTATTAATTTTCAATCTTAAAGTATTTTGATTTTCAAAAATCGTATTAATAATATACATATGTGTGCTCATACATGGGAATAAAAAAAATTTCTTTTTTTTCAATAATTAAAATATGATCAGGAGGTCTTAAAACGTGTATTTCCGTAAAATAAATTTTACAAAATTTTTTTTTCATTATGGGTACTTTGCTTATGTGCGCCTACATAGGTCGGAAAGTAAAAATGCTTGGGCAGTCGAGAATCTCGGCTCGAGAATCCAAATCGTATGCCGTTGACGGGAGGTCGGATTTCAGTTGTTTAGAGCGAGAAGGCAAATGTGAGCCTTTCTCTCTCGACTCCCACGAGGCGATCCGAAATTACTTCGGGCAGCTTCGGAGAATCGAGAAAGAGGGCATGCGTCAGTTTGCCTTTGTCGACTTTCCGAAACTCCACGAGCTCACGTACGCGTATCTGGCATGTGTGCGTGTGCACCCGGCGGTGCTTTTCTGGCATCTCTGAGTGTCACCTTTATATGTTACTCTGTGACATTATCATAATACATAAAATATTTAGTTTTGACGATTCAAATAAAACGAGTTTTTTCTTTAAATTAATTAATTATATGTGAAACGCTATTCTGTTTATATTCATTTAATGACTACTCCTGAGAATAGTATTTCAAACATTTCTATTTCAAGCAATATACCAAATAATGCAGAACTCCTGGTCCTGAAAGCAGTCGGTGTCGGTGGTACACTGCGTACTGCGTAAAAGAAGGGGTTAAGCTTATCCAATCATTTAACGCGCATGCGCTGTTGTGTATATACGATCACCGTACGGACGATCGCCAGTCATCAATCGGTTATCTGTCATTCTCTTCTTGTACCACCGTTTATACAGATTTTTCGTTCAATCCGGTAGTCAACTTGTCAATTTCTTTTTTTTTATCGAAAGTGTCTGTTTGAAAATACACTGACTAAATTTATTAGAAGTGGTCGATATTAACGAGAACGAAGTAACGTAAAAGCGAAGCAGACGTGAATATCTGTCTGCTTAAAAACTGCGGATTTTGCCATGACGACAGAAGAGAAGTTTCACGCGGCTGTTAATGTGATCAGAAGTCTGCCAAAAAATGGTAAAATGTTTAGGCAATTAATTTGACTTGTCTGATCAATTTTCCCGTCTTGTTATTATGTATTGTTTTGCGGAAATTCAAGTTCCATTATTGTCCTTCTTTCCTTGTACGTTACAGTATTCAGAGTGCAAAATATTTTACTAACTACAGCCACGGTGTGTACGCTGCCCTATGTTTTTTTCTTACTTTTTTTATTCGCCCGAGACACGACAAACGAGTTCTCTCTTTAATTAGCAACACATAAACAGAACATTTACAATATTTACTTTATTTGCAAATCGAGTAGTCGTAAAGCAATCGTACAAAGTTCATGTCTGACTTGATCAAATATTTATCCGCATCTGTCATACAAACGCGACTAGTACGTTCACGACGTTTTTAATTAACGACGTGCATTCATATCCTTTTTGCAACACTAGTCAAAGCACAAATTGCTTATATGCGAGGCAAAGTAAATATTGTAAATTATTAATGTTAACGATGTTAATAAAAATAAAACATAAAAAAAGAGAGAAATTATTAGTACTAATACATACATATATATGCGTATAAGTAACTTCTACTCTCTTCATATCATTATAGATAAGCATATTTTTTTCTTTTATCTTTATATCTATCATCTTACATCTTTATTAAAGTGTAAGCATTTCCTTTTATTTTTTTGCATATCATTGAAAACATTTGTGAAAGTATACAATATATGAATTTGCATAACAGTATTAAAATATGAAAAAGTCTCTTACACAAATTTTAATAAGAGCTATTCAATTATATATTTGAATTTTTCTTTCCTATATAATCTACAAATTTAAATTTTGTACAAAAGGTACTTATGCAATTTTAGAGCCACATTTTGGCATTACATTGGAAGCAATGTATGTGTTCACTATTATTAAAGTCATAGATGTAGAAATGTACTTTCCATTTATTCTAAGTAAATGTGTGTGCTCTCATTTCACTTTCTAACAGAGCAGGAATGGGTGAACTGCACTGCACTTTGTGCTTAAAACTGGAACGTTCCTCTTGAATAATCGCAACTATATCTTGAATTTTTATGGATAGTACCATTAATTTTTTGATTTATTAACAACGTTATTGGTTTAAAATAATTTTTTTTTTACCTAAATACATATGAAATGGTAACCAATAAATGCCAGTTTTGTTCAAAGCATTTATTTTGATGCAGAAAAAACATTTAATGTTAATATATATTCTATTATTTTAAATCTTTTATAAAGATATAGTTTAAAATGAAAATAACTTGTTTAATGTTGACAAAATCGTAGTTCCAAACTAATAATGAAATGGTAATATAGATGCTTTCATTAAAGAGTCATTTGTAGATTATTTAATATGTTGTACCATGTTTTAGGAGTATATCAACCTAGCAATGAAATTATGCTACGTTTTTATGCATACTATAAACAAGCAACAGAGGGGCCATGTCAACAGCCAAAACCTGCTTTCTGGGAAGTGGTAAAGAAGGCAAAGTGGGATGCTTGGACACGTTTGGGCAATATGAGTAAAACAGAAGCTATGAATAATTATGTGGAAGAATTAAAAAAGGTTGCGTTCAAAAACAAATATAATTCTATTATGTATTAATTAATATTTAAAAATTGTTGCTTAACATTTAACGTACATATTTTGATAGATCATAGAGACAATGTCTTATACCGACAAGGTAGCTAATTTCTTGGGCAGTTTAGACACATTTTATGAAAGTGTTCCAGCAGAGGATTTGGAATTACTTGTTGGGCCTGTTTTAGAACGTATACGTTCACAACCTGGCTCACCATTATCTAGTTCACCTTTGGGTTAGTATTTGTAAATAACGATAATATACATGCTTTATGTTTTGTTGAGATATCTGATAAGTTATCGAGCTACAAATATATTTTACATTTACGATTGATAAAGATTATAAAACGAAGACCAACAATTCTACATTAATTATTTTTTATGCAGCATCTAGAGAAACATCGCCACACAGAGTTTGTAACATGACTCGACACATTGCAAGTAGTTTAGAAACTAGCCCGGCTAGTAGCAATAGTGCGAGTCCATTACCACCGGATACTGATGGCGAGGAAGAAGAATTTATAGATACTGTTGAAGTAAGCTATTGTTATTATGAAATATGCGCTGTGTTAAATTTATTTTTAATTTTGATCCATATGACCGGAACTGATCTTTTATTTACAGTCTGCACCAGAACGGTCGCAGAAGGATATAATAACAACTGCCTCTTCTTCTCAAAAAATATCTAATGGCTTCAGTGTTACTAATGATAAAATTAGCGAACTAGTTGTCTTGAAGGAGAATCCTTCAGAATTAACTAACGGATATGCCAACATAAATAGCTATACAGAAACAGTAATAGACAGTAAACAAGAAAGAGGTCGACAACGGGTCAAGAAAGATGAAAAATCCAATGCAGAGTTTTTTAATCAAATAGCTACAACTATGCAAAATTTACAACGAGACTTGGATAGAATAACAGCTAGAGTACGCAGTTTAGAAGGTCGAGCATTACAAGCATTAGCACCGCCAATAGTAAATATACTTTACAGTCAAATTTATATCTTATTATTATCATATTTAATTACTGAATAATTCATTGTCTTTTTAGAAACAGCCTACAACAACTGTGTATCCAAAATGGTGGCCTTTACCAGAATGTTCACCGCGATTATTTACCATATTAATTTTGTGGCCGTTTATAGCACAATTTTTAATTTCTCTTAGACAACGTTATCGTCAGCGGAGATTGATTTAAATATTATTGTTGTCTTGTTCAAAGTATATTCCATTACTTATTGTTAGATAACATTGGATGCAAACAACACAGAGACATTTAGGTATTGGTACATAATTTTTTTTTTTAATATGCCCCAAACCTAAATTTTTACAGTTTAACCCCTTAAGCGGCCCACAAATTTGATTATATACCACTTACTAAATACACACCACCATTACATAACAAATTTTACAAATACAGAGACACTCATTTGCTCGAACTTTTCTTTCCGAATACTTTTTCTAAACTGAATTCGAAAGTTCAAGCTTAATCACTTAGATGGTTTACTGTTATGTATTTATAAAACACGACCGAGAGTTTTGATGGCTCTTCATTAGAATTTTCCTTCTGTATCTTGAAACTATTTGAAAATATAAAGAACATGCTCGCATCATAACGCAAAATAATTATAATAAGAAACGTGCAAAAATGTTCAATTTATAACCCTGTACGTGGACGCCTAAGAGGTTAAATTGGCAAAAGATGAAAAATGTGATCCCTCTTTTATATAAAAAAAACGATTATAGTACAGTGGTTAATCATGTAAAATTTTTAAATTCTATGAATTGCTTATATACACCTGTATAGCACACGCAAAAAGATGTATTTATTTTAAAAATTAAAAAGATTTGGAAACAAGTTTGATTGCTCTCTGTATATTTATATGATAAAAACAGGTGAATTAATCTGGTGTCTAAGGTGACTTATATGTATGTATTATAAATAGTTGTATGTATTCATATATTGTAATATAGAAACGAAGATTATATACGAATTTTATATTGCGAATTCTGGTTAACGGCGTAAAATAGATTACAACGTGCAAACTCTTTTATAAAAACATTGTAATGTAGGATGGTACTGTTATCATTCCCAATTATACAATGAAATCCTTCTTCCGACTTCTTTTTATATAATTTTAAGTTGAAAATAGATGTATTATCAAATTTATGTACAGACGTTGTATAAAATACATTACAATTTTTAATTATATGTTAAAACAATGATTGTTATTTTTAATTATGTTTCACAACCAATTACAAGCACACTTGGTGCGGTCCCTTCAAATTAATATTTTCTGCTTCGTACTATTACAATAAAATAAATTAAAAAATGTTTAATATGTCTTAATTATGCAGAAGATTAAATTTAAACCTGTAACTAACACAGTTATATATACAGTACGTATATACTAGTAAATAAACAATTCGGAATAATTACCAAAATTGATATTCATGATCATATGCAATTATTTGTTACCGTTCTAAAGAGTTGCAACAATAATTTATTATTGATAAATTAAATGTTTTCGGAAATTCATAAGCATTAATCGTTAAAAATGATGTTTCAATTTAATTTATCGGAGATCTAAAGTTCAAACGAAAATACAAGATAAGATATTTTTTTAGGAAAGATATACATATAAAATGAGTACCACTGCCGAAATGAGTAATCCACTGCACAAATCAAGAAGAGGGGGTGGGGAATGATATTGGGAGAACAAAGCACCAAGACGAATTTCGCAACTTTAGGATTTTTGTAGCTTTCTATAGCTGTATTTCAAGTGTAATCTTGCACGTGTAATCTCCAACACATCTGACAAAAGCAAAACATGCGCCAATCTAGTTGTCAAAAGATGTTGGAATTGTTATAGTATTCCACAGGTTGTGGCAATCAATAGATCGATGCTTTATTCAATTTCCACGTGAAGCCTCTTTAGTAGAGGTCAGAAAGTATTAGACAAATCGAGAAATTTGAAACATGAAAACGAACCTGCTCATCATAGTCCTGGCATTTTCTATTATAAGCCTGTTTCGTGCAGAGGATACAGATTTGGGGTCCATTATTTTCGCAAATATCGTAAGTTTGAAGTTTCCTTTCTCTCCTGAAATCAAACGTATGAGAAGAAAAAATAATTAAATAACGTTTTCACCCTTAAATTGTATGTTAACGATGTGTTAAACATTAAAGAGTCAAATATGCAAATGTGTTTGAACTAATCATGAGAAGCATTTCTTCATTTATTTTTCAAAATAAACGCTTTAATTAATGCACATATTCTTCAGTTTACTTATTTACATTATTAACATTTGATCTAAATTTGTATTTATTCATGAAAAACCATGCGAAGCGAACTGTTCAATTTATTTGTACGTAATTACTCCTATTTGCCCAATAATTGTTAATTATTTTATAGTTGTATAGACATGGAGATAGGACACCTTCAACTTCTTATATCAATGACCCCTATAATAATCAAAGTATTTGGCCTGTTCCATATGGCCAATTAACAAATGTAAGTTGTTATTTATCAATATACATACGAGTATATTCCAATTATAACATTTATTTTGATAATGTCACTTTTTCTTTCTGATAGGAATATAATCATTTTGATAGTATATTATTTAAATTTGTTAATTATTTCAAATGCTCATATTTCGCGTAAGGGACATTATGAAAATATTGTGTGTTAATTTATGAAATCTATAAATATAATACATCAAATTTTGATAATATAAAATATTGTGTAAAATATATTTACATAATATATTGGTTTAAGAATGCATAAAACATAATATAAAATTAAAAAAACCAACTATTGTACAGACTACAAGTACAATCATATTTTAAAATGTATTTAATTCTGAAATATTTAAATGACCATTAATGTATTTATTATATGGTATATAGCTTGGGAAACATCAACATCTGCTGCTTGGCCATTGGCTCCGCAAACGCTATTCACGCTTGCTACTTGACTTGTATTCTCCGTTTGATATCTATGTCCAAAGTACCGATGTGGATCGCACTTTAATGTCAGCAGAAGCACATCTTGCTGGCCTATATCCACCAAATGGTAATCAAGTATGGGACAATATCAAATGGATGCCTATTCCTGTTCATACTATTCCTGAAAATGAAGACTATGTACTGGCTGCTAGAAAGTACTGTCCTAGATATAATTATGAATTTGAAAAAGTTCTCAAATCTCCAGAAATGAAACGCATAGATGAAGAAAATAAAGATTTATATGCATATTTAACAAAAAAATCAGGAAATAAAATTTCATCTCTAAGAACAGTGGCAGAACTTTACGATATATTATTTATTGAGGTAAGATTATGATATCGCTTGTATTTTTAATTTCTTTATTCAATTTCATTAATTTGACTTGTTTGTACATTTAATAAACCCAATTAATTAATTGAATATATATGTTATAGAATCTTTATAATAAGACATTACCAGAATGGACAAAATCTGTGTTTCCAGATAAACTTAAACCAATCGCTGCAAAAAGTTTTACAACCAGAGCCCACAATAAAATACTTCAAAGATTAAAATCAGGTACATGCTATTCATTGATCTGCATTTAATAGATATAAGTTCTATGTACCTTGCATTTGTATCATTTATTATTATATGCGAATACGTATCAATTCTGTGTAATTCTGTATGTACATGAAACGTGATAACAGGTTCATTATTGGGAGAAATGATAGATCATATGGAGAAAAAATCAAAAAATATTTTAATGCCTGATAGAAAAGTGTGGATGTATAGTGCCCATGATGAAACTGTTGCCAATATGTTAATGACTTTGGGTGTGTTTGAACCTCATTGCCCACCATACACTGCTATGATTCTCATAGAATTAAGAGTAAATTTAAAAAATCAGTATTTTGTAACGGTAGGTATTTGAAATATTTGAAACATAAAGTGGTCATATACATTCTATATACAATTCATATATGTTTTTCAGGTTTCTTATAAAAATTCGAGTTCGGAACCACTTCTTTTAACACTACCCGATTGTATTACATTATGTCCTTTAAATCAATTTATTGCAATAACAAAAAATGTTATACCTATAAATTGGGAAAAAGAATGTGTAATGGATTGGGATAAATTTGGATACAATATAAATACAACAGCAGTTATCGGTAAATTTCAATTACATTAAAATTTCTGTTTTTAATTTATATTTAGATAATACTGCTTTTATACTTTTTATAAGTTGAAACGATAATAGTTATTTTATAATTCAGTATACATAATTTCAAAAAAATACTAATTTAGAATATTGAATTAAAAAAACTTTTATTTCTGTTTCAGCGATACTAACATCTTCAATATTAATGTTAGTTTTATTAATTTTGTCTGTAATTGGCTTTATTTATTGGCATTACAAACGAGAACATAATCAGTATTACCTTCGATTAACGACGGATCCTATATAATCAACGTCGTATTGTTGAAAATGATATATTGCTTTTATTGTAATAATCAATGTCTTCATAATTAAGTGATTAGGAACGCAAAGATAAATGATGAACTCGTATCTAATTTTACACACTGTAGGGAATAAATTACTGACACGAGAAAGGCTGATAGATCTTTCATAAAACATTTCAAAACTTTGGAGATATTTGTACTTTTTTATTGGTGATACGATACTTTAGTGAGCAAAAAATAATGTATCCTGTGAAATATCTACTGTCCGCATACGGAGTGAAACAGAAAATTTGTCCGCTTAAAATATTTCCGTTGTTTCTGGACATAGAAAAAAATGTGTACAAAAGTTGTACAGTACGACGAGGAACGTATTATAGTGGCGTTAGTTTTTTTTGTGAAAGCGTAAACGAAATTTCAAATTTGACTTATTTTCTAAATAGAACTTCATATAATAAAAATTGGATATATGCTCGAATTGATCTACGGAGATTCCCCTTGGCACACCACAAAGCTCGGCAGCCGAGAAGGACCTCCTTCTCTTTTACTCGTCCTTTCTTACGCTCGATAGTCGATCGGGGCTGTTTCTACAATTAGAATCGATCCATCTACTCCATAAGTGCCTGGCTTGAGGACTCAATCTTCGGGCATATATTGTTATGAGCCAGGGCCGTGCAGCGTGCGTGGCCTGCGAGTGCGAGAGAGAGTATGGAATATGATATCAAGTTGTTAGTTAGGTGCACGGACGAACCCGATGCGAGATCGGGGAGCCGCTAGGATAATTGATAACGAGGACGAACCTGATGCGTAATCAGGGAGCCTCTAGGGTGGAGTCACTAACAGACCAACCTGGTGCGAAACCAGGGAGCCGTAGGAGGATGAAACGTCGTGAACAAACCCGATGCGAAATCGGGGAGTCTCTAGGATTGTTGATAACGACGCAGACGAATCCAATGCGAAATCGGGGAGCTGCTAGGAGGTTGGAATAAACGCAGACGAACTCGATGCGTAATCGAGGAGCTACTGGGAGGTTGGATAAATCACAGACGAACCTGATGCGTAATCAGGGAGCCACTAGGATGGTATTAGATTGCGTGGACGAACTCGATGCGTAATCGAGGAGCCACTGAGTTGTAAGAATTTGTATTTGGATTCAGGATATGTTAATTGACCTCGTAACTTTCAATTATTAAATATAATATAACCCGAACGGTGTAGCCCGATCTTACGAGATGCAACTGACTATCAAAACCGTGGACAGCGTAACGAGACGTGATGTTAACTCTAAACGTAACTGTACGATTCTGATCCCCCGAGTAAGGAAAGCAAGGGGTTTATATACCAAAAAATCTGTGGGGGAGGATTCAGATGCACGTTAGACATTACCATATTTGATAATCTCCGAACTTCGTTAATCACCGAGCAGCTGCATCTCGTGGGAACTGACTCTACATTCCAAAGGGTAGATAAGTAGCAGAGCGTTTTCCTAATGCACGCAAGTGGTACGGAAAAATTGGGGAACGAAATGTTCGGCATATGTAACAATATCAAACTTATACTGAATTTCTTTATTTTTAGCGCAATAGGGCAAGTTGTAGTAGATGTTAAAGTGATGCCATTAACTGACATTCAATATGAAAACGTTATAAAGAATACTCTTAGAATTTTATTAGAAATTTAAATGAATAAATGGTAGAGGAGACAAGAAAGGGTCACTGGTGACCAGTTCATTTATTGGACTCTCTTGGTCTACTAATGAACATTGTGTGCAAAGAAAGATCTGTAAAACTAGAAAATATGAAGTACAGGATAGTTAATGCGTGCGTTCAAAAAAAAAAAACAAAAATTATAAGATGTATACATGATGCAGCAGTTCAAAAACTGCAACATTGAATCTATACTAACGGCTATCATTTCGAACATCTATTATAACGTAAGAATCGTTATTCCATCGTTTTTTATGACCTGTCGTGAACTTGAATGATCTCGTTTATAGTTCGTTGAAATCGTCTAAATAGTTCCTATCTCATTAAGGATAAAAAAGTATGACGTTCTAATTTAAAAAATAAAATTGTTCTTAAGATCTCCTTTACACCTCCTCTAAAAAACTAACGCTACTATAACTTACACTTTTTTTTCTATGTTTACAGCGGTACAGTAAATATCTTAGATGGATAAAGTTTCCACTTCACTCTGTATATTACTTACTAACTGTTGGAAACAAAGCTGTTTTATAACTTTTGTAATGATTTTTACTAGCTTGATAAAAAGGTATTAGATTCCTAACACTTTTTGTGATTACAAAAGGGTACGTTACTTAATTTGATTTTTAAAAACATGTGAGAAAATAAGCTGTGATGAGGCATGAAATAGTTTACAAATTAATTGTGAGAAAAATTGAAGTATTAAACATTTACTTTTAACAATGGACGATTTAAAAAAAAAATGTTAATATTAATAGTGGAATTTGTAATTGCAGATACGTCTACAAGAAATGAAAATTGTTTAAATATACTTATAACGGCTGTGTTAATGTATTTGTATCAATTACCTCAGGGTAAATATTATTTACTATACATTAATTAATCCTTTGAGCAGTACGAATGTACATTTATATTATACTTTAGTTTACTTATAATATGAATATGCATGCGAATACTTTTTAAATTTTATATCAAAGTATTGGTATTGCCATTAATTCACACCTGACTTTGACATTTTTACACACGACTATTTAATCAGTTGTTTGTTGCATGTTGAAACATCGTTCTCAGTTATATGAAAACTCACTGCTCAAAGAGTTAACAAATTGTAAATTGAAGAACAATTTGGTTTTAGTATAAATTATAATTGGATTCATATATATGTTATAATACTGTTAAGTTCTGTAACATTTAAATACTTGTATATGTAGAAAATGTATTTATCTACGATATTTCAGAGATTGTCTAGTCATTGTTGTAAGGTATAGAAGTTAAAAACATGCATTGTCCTTAAGCAATGAAAGATATATCTAATCATTTTACTGTTACTCTTTTGAAATATCATTTACGAATAACATTCTCTATATAAAAAAAAAAATAAGAAGTTAGATTTAGAGGAAAAGAGACAATACACGAAGCTAAAGAAGAAATAACTTCCTGCTCGATCGTATAATTGGCCTGGGAATTCTTTTTCCTTTTTTTAACTGAACTATTTTACAATTACAATATTTTATTGCTTAACATCGAAATAAATGTACAAATATGTATACATGTATCTTATTCGGAATATTTTTGTGATATTTAAAAATAAATAAATAATACAAACAAAATTGTATCGTATTTTTAATCGTATTTCTTCAGTTAGCTCCATGCTCGAAACGGAACTTTTAATTTGAAATTACCTGTTTATGTATCTTGAGGTAACAATACTTAACGGCGGTCACAGGTAGACTAACTCACAGCTTGTATTATGTACTCTTCAAGCGGTATACTGTTTATCTTTCAAGGTCTTTGATTTTCTGTTTATGAATTAAAGCGATTACATAGGATAGAATGTGATAAAATTTCTTCTAAAGAAAATCAGATACGAACGTATTCATTTTATGATAATTTATAGTTTATACGATTTATTTGTTGACCTAATATATTCGTTAGGGGTGTGCGGGATCTTGAGATGATTCGGGATTCCCAAGAATACACGTGATCACGCGAAGATTCGGGATTCTCGAGAATATACGGGATCCCAAAAATGTTCGGGATTCCTGATAATGTACGGGATATAGAATAATATCTGGGATTCTCGGAACACAATTGTGTGATTGACTATCTATTCAGAAATATCTACCGATATTAAAATTCTGCATTGTCAGAATTATCGAAATTTGCAATTATTTAGTACAATATTACTATCATAAACATTCCCGATTAATAAGATATGTAATCTTCGAGAACACAATGGCTTTCGTCTTATGGTAATTGTTGGAAGTATAGAGAAACTTAAAATGTCGAGAATCCGGAACATTTTTGAGATTTTGAAATTCTTGGGAATTCCGAATGACTTCGGGATCCTGAAAATTCGCGGGAATCACGAATGTTTTCGGTATTTCATCCCGATCTCGAGAAAAATTCCCGTCCCGATCGGGATCTCGCAAACCCCTAATATTCATAGATGTAATGCAAGGTCTTTCGATGTGCGCCTAAACAAAAGAGATTCTATTTATTAAAATTATCTGTATTATATACTGCACTTGTTTTAAAGTTTTTAAATTATTTTATTTTACAGATAAATATACATAAACAAACTTAACACGTATTTTATAATTGGCATAATATGTCGATAATAAAAATTTAATATTCAACTAATATTAAATACACGATTCTATCGTGTAAAATTTGTATAATTATGAATTTTAAATTCTGTACAATGTTCACATTTATAAAAGAAAATTTGAATCGTGAGTATGTATAATATATTATTTAATATCTTATATATTTACAATTAGAGTTATTTGTTCGTCAGTAGTCTGGAATTGTGCTAAAACTTCCTGTCGCACTTTCTTGAATATTAAACGCCGGATTCGATCTGAAATATTACGTATATTAGTTTTATATATCTTGGTTAACGAACTTAAAATAGAGCCTGAAACAAAATTTTTTGTTATGACAATATAAGAGAACGCGCAATGATGTCTTACCTTCGGCAGGAAATTTTTAAAATCAAGTTAGCGTTGTGTGTCCACCCTTTTGTGTATTAAAAATGTACATGCAATGGAAATATCTTTGGTTAGTGATTCAAAAGATAAAAGAAATTATTATCAAAATGACTATGACAAACATAATAATAGACATAAAGCAACTGACGAATAAGTAAACATACATGTGAACAAAAGTGTGAACAAAAGAATTGAATACATACATGCAGTTTCCCTTTATAATTTCAATTTATTTTTAACTTAAAATAGCAGTAATTGTAACATAAAATTTAACAATAAGATTTTTATTTTATTCATATAAACACCCACTTCATATAATATATTAATATCAATGAATAAGTTATAAATTGATTTCACTAGAATTTAGAAAGAATTTTTTTTAGGAAACTGTTTGATGAACAGTTACATTCTTTATATTTTTTAAAACTTTTTAATGCTAAATCAATGTCAACTCAAATACTATAATATTTACAATACAATATTAGCAATATAATATTAATCAATTGTATTGTAAGTATTTGATACTTGAAAGTATTGAATAATACTAAGTGATTTTAATGCTAGTACATACCATATATGATGTTATGTTGAAGTCAGATGATGCGATTGCTTTAAAACTGACACATTTTCTGTACTTAGAAGGCACCTTGTTTAACATAGTTGCATGAGACAAACTTGATTACATATTTAATGATGTTTCTGAGACATTGAAGAAGCTATGAATGAAAAAGGAATAATTCAAAGTCTTTATGGCATCAGTTTATTTGATATGTAAAATGTATTAGACACTTTAGTTTTACTAAGAAACTATAGTAACTATAAATATCAGATATAGCTTATGGAAATAATTTAATACAATACTATAAGCTGGTAAGAGAAGCATATACACTTACTTTAATCTTATTGTTTAACTCTTTACAAAAGAAGATTATTATTTTAATAAATGTTAACATCAGAATAATCATTAATACTTCTTGTATTTACTTTATCAAAAAATTTCTTTTTTATTTAATAGTCCAAGTATAAATTAATTATACATTTAATAAACAATAGTGCATAAAAATTTTGTGCCTACAAATAATTAGTTAAAAAATAAAAGTAATACTATTGTATCTAGTTCCTCGTACCAAAGGTGTTACATGACAGAGAACAACAGAATCAGCTTTTCCAGAATACACATGTTAGTATTACATACATAGTGTTAATTTGCAAACTTACATTTTACACTCAGTGTACACATTGAATACAAGACACACACGCACACACACAAGTGTACACAAAAGCATAATCTCAGGATTTTTATACACACACACATTGCACAGTAGGATTTAATCTTGAAGAAATGTAAAGAATTATATATTATAAATTTTATAAAGGCAATTGAATACAATAAACTGCACAAACAGTAACATATATAATAATGTGAAAATTGATAGAGAACATAGAATTTTTAAGTATAATCACAATTGATGATACACATGCATATAATTATAGTACTAAAATTATGCACATAATATCATATACATACATATATATATGTATATATGAGTAAAATTTTTATAAATATTGCACGAATGTGTTACCATTATGCATATCAAATTAAGAATTTCTCACAATTTTTACAAAAATAGTCGATTATTTCATGCTATTGTTTATTACGAATTCTTGATAGAATAGAATTTATATTTATATTATATTGTTAGTTACAATCTTTACAACGTATACTATAATATATACATGAAAAACATGATTTATTTGCATATCTAAATAATATATACCGCAAAATGAGTGATCGGTTAACGAATACTTTTAATTATTATAATTTATATTTTAACTTATTAATGTATACAATTCTCACCTTGCATATATAGTTGGGTTAGATAATCCAAGCGTTGTACTTACAGGACTGCCAATATATTTACTTACAAACTGTAATAGAAATGAACAACGAAATTATTAGTAATAATTATCAACGTTAATACTAGAGGTATGTGAAAACCCGAAAATATTGGATCGGTTTGAGAATTTTTGTCGGGATTGGGTTGGGTTCCCGGGAAAACAATTAATTGTAACGTATAGAAGTATGAAAGTTACAAGATGAAGTGAAAATAATAAATTCAAAATACTAATAAGTATGCATAATATATTTATTACTGATTTCATGCATCATTTTCACTCCATCTTCCAACTTTTATAATTTAACATTCTTGTAAATTATACTTTCTTTCGAAAATCCCGAATACTCTTATGAATCTAAAACATTATCGGGATCCCGATCTGTTCCGACCCTCGGGTTTTCGCATACATTTAGTTAATACTATTATTTAATACATACCCAGTGATTACCAAGAGAAGTTGCACCCATATTCAGGGCCATATGAATTACCAGATAAAAACAGAATAAAAGGTATAAAATGAAATATATAGAAATTGCGAGTATCACTGCCCAATGATGTGGCAAATCTTCTTGGACAGTATTTATCACAAAATATATATTTATACATATTACTACAGCAGACAATGCTGTTGCAACAACCTTATTTACTCTGAAATGTAAAAGTGTACATTAGAAATTCTGCAAACATAGAAATGAAAATATGCCAATGATTACATACATTCCGTTTCGGAATTCACCCATTATTTGAGAGCTGCTAGTAAATGCTATTGTTGGCAAAGTTGCAAAAGGCAACTGAAGCGTCATAATAGCATTCAAAATATCATTCATATCAGTTAAATTATTTATATCACTGTAAAATGCAACGAGGAAAGTAGGAATAATAGCAATCATTCGTGTAAAAAGAACTCGTTTCCATCGAGCCCACTGCAGATTCAAGAAACCCTCCATTGCAAACTGTCCCGCATAAGTTCCTGTCATTGTAGAAGACTGACCAGCAGCAAAAATTCCAACAGCCCATATATACATTGCAGCTGCACCGAAGGCACAGCCAAGAAATATACCACCCGTATTAAGATCGACTGAAACAGTCTCATTGTCTTTCTGTAAATTATAAAATTAAATATAGGAATAAGATTGTAATTATTAAGTCTAAATTAGCTTTTTTTTATTATTACTTACTGGAAGAAATGTTTCCATCCCTATAGTAAAGTTACTTGCCTCGCAAATCTTATACTAAAATATAATAAATTGTAAAATATGTATAACTATCAGTTGCAAGCAGCATTTATAAAAATATTTAAAAATTAACAATATATTTCTTGTACTTACAATGTTTAAATTAGTTTTTCTATAAAGACCGTCTGCAAAAACTGCTACAACAAATACATTAATTATAAAGGAAACCAATAATGCAATACAAGCCTCAATGAAGTAATACATATTTGCTTCCTTTACTTTTTTCGGTTCCGTGCGATCAATGTCTCTTGACTGAAAATTGAAAACAAATTCATTAAAGAAGCTATTTTACCTATTATCCTTTCTCAATTTCAAATAACTGACGTTACTCATACTACTCTGCTTTTTCCTTACCTTAACAAGAGCACTGTGAAGGTATAAGTTGTGTGGCATTATGACTGCACCAACAATCCCCACAGCTTTTAATAACATATTTCTATCATAGTCCTTGAACCAAGGTGTAAACATGCCTTTTATTATTTCAATTTGTGGAGGAGCAGAAACAATATACTGAAACAATTATATTATGGAATAATTGCTGTAATAAACATGTTCTTTTTAATCATTAGGACCAATAAATTTAACGATACAATTTAATACAATGTATAACATACTTCGTAACCAAATGTAACGGCCATTATTGCGATAAGAAATCCAAAGAAAAATTCTAATTTTCTCAAACCATATTTGTCTAATAATAAAAATGTAAAAGTGTCAATTATTGTAATGAGTACACCACCCCAAATAGGTATTCTGAAACATTAAATTTATCACACATAAAGAGTCATTAAACGTACATCAAATTGAATATGTAAAACAAATGCCAATTAACGAACAATAAGAATATCTCATTTTCTTTAAAGTATTTAATAAATTTAGTTTAGTTATTAAGGATAGTAACAGTTTAATAATCTTATCAGCCACTTACGCTTTGTTTGTTAATAGTGACAGGGCAATGGCTGTCCCTATCACTTCTTGCATGTCGCTACCGATTATAGCTATTTCTGTCATTATCCATAAAATCAGTCTAGGTACTTTTTTATATTGTCTGTAACACATTTCTGCTAAGTGTAAACCTGTTACCACACCGAGTCTTGCACTTAGTCTTTGCATAACAAGGCCTAAAACTGTTGCACTTAATAATACCCATAGTAACTAAAACAAAAATACAAATAAAATAATATTTTATTAAGTAAAAGCATTATGCGTAAAGTACCTTATATTTGGCAGCTACTCCAGATTGTAAATCAGATTCTATGTTTCCAGGATCAAGGTAAGCTATGGACATTAAAAATCCAGGACCTGTAAAAGCCCATAATTTCCTAAAACTAAAAAAAGCCTGTAAAAAAATCCACTTGTATTTAATATCTTTATGTAATTGTAAATATTGATTCTTTTTAATTTTAACAACTTGTATTACATTATCTTCATTTGGTATATGAATTTTTTCGTCTGCAAAATATGCTTGATTACTGTTATGCGTTAAAGAGGTACTTTCTGTCGCTTTAACATTGTTTTGCACTTCCTGTGTACACTCTTGAGGCACTGTTGTGACTGTTGAATCATTGTTACCCTCAATAGTATGATTACTTTGCATGGTATATTGATAAGATGCGTCTAAAATCGAATCATTGCTTTATAGTATAAGAATATAAACACAATACATTAACACTATTATTTTTATTACTTTCAATAAGCAAACAATGTAATAATAATGAACTGTTTCAAATATAAATTGTTTTTTCAATTCAATAATTCAATCATTACGAATATCAAAATGACAAAAAATTGAAATAAACATATTTTAGATTATACCTCTTTATGAGACTGTTTAAAAGCAAAATTTACTATAAAAGTATCAACAACAATAGATCGAATATTTTAATAGTAATTGTGTGGTTAACCATTCACAAAAATAAAAATAAGCCACGTATTAAATTGGACTATAGTTTTTAAATAAACTTAAACATTTCTTAAATGTAATTTTACCATAAAATTAATAAACAATGCAACTCAGCAGAACCAAAAATCGGACATAACTGAAAGGAAAAGAGAACACAACAATCCCCTCCACAGTCACGAACAAACTGAAAACACTGGAGCACTGATCATTGCGACGAACCGTATGTATAAGACTGACAAACTATCTTTGTTGGATGTTTCCCCCTCTTTGAATCCACATTTCCTAATTAATTTCTGGTGGGGATATCCGACCTCATCCGTAGCTCTGAATTCATGTACAGAAATTTGCAGACACCACGTTTTGAGAATAATAACTACGACTACGTCACGGGATGTCCCGCGACATTATGCTCGCAGTAAAATAGTGTAATTTAAATAACACTCGCGCAAGGTCTCTTGTTATCACAAATAACTTCTGAAGTCCCGACCGATCTAGGGCTTCTGCAGATTTACTACGAAACAACTATTTTTCTAATAGACGATTATTCTTACAAGCGAAAGTTCTTTAGCCATTTTTAAATAGCTGCTTTTGTTGGAACATTTAAATCCAGTTCATGAGTCAGCCAAATGCCTTTTAAATCATCAAGACGCTTCTACACACCAAAATGATTCTTTAATCAACTTTAATACGAACGAATGTACTTATGGGCCATTAAATTATTCTGAATAGGTTAATACAGGAAACCTTCATTCTTCTAATGTAGAAATTATATTAAATCCAAGCGTATCTTGTAAAAATATACGAAATCAAGAAAAATTTTAATGGAAGATTCTAGAGGCCAAAATAAGACGAAAATCAAGAATAGATTTCGTGGGTATGTTTATTCATCAAAAACGCTTGCGATTAACCCCCGCAACCGAAAATAATTTTTTCAGAACTATTTGAAATTTTTTTTTCATGGAAAAATTTAGGCACCCCTTTCGATTTTTTTTTTAAATTCATTTTTTATTTTTAGCAATTTTGTTTGATGTCCTATAGAAAAGTTGTCTAATACTTTTTTGTAGGTGCCCATGAACTCTACTTCAGAAAATAATTTCATTGAAATATATTCAGTATTGTAGGAGTTACAGTCGTTTGAAAATTGGACCATTTTTATGTGGTTTTTCTCACTTTACGAGCTCAAGGAACAACGTTTTCAATATTGTTAGAATTTCTACATATTCTTCATTAAAATACGCGTTATTTGTCGTTTGAAACATTAAAATCCTTTAATCCGTTCAAAAGTTATGACGTTTTAAAGATACACACGAAATTTTGGAGTGACATTTCTGGCCTGAAATTATATTTTTGGTAAGGAATTCATTTCTCGAAAATGCGTAAAATTTCGGGGGCATCTGCAATGACCAAAAATGATTGTAATCGACCCTTGCAACCGAAAATAATTTTTTCAGAACGATTTGAAAAATTTTTTTTTCGCCGAAAAACTACAGCACCTACCCGAATTTTTTTCTCGAAAGTGGGTAGGATTTCGGGGGTACGTGTACTCGCCAAAAACGATTGTAATTCACCCGCGCAACCGAAAATAATTTTTCCAGAAGAATTTGAAATTTTTTAATTTAATTTTTTAATAACTTTTTAACGAAGCCTCAGTCAAGAAACGAATATTCTTGATTTTCGTTTTATTTTGGCCTTTAGAATCTTCCATTAAAATTTTTCCCAGGGGTGGCCGAACACTCTGTATATTACGTTATCAATTCGTAAGTGAAACATTTTTTTCCAAAATCGTTTATTATGTTGACGGAAGCAGAATCATAAAACTATGGAGTTCGAATGTGATAAGATGTTGCCAAAATTCAAACTTTGTTAGAATAATTCTTGAACTAATCAATTTTATTATTTTGTAGTTTTATGAAGAACGAAAATATATAATTATTTTTCAATTCAAGTTGGTTAACACGTTCAAACTATGTTGCGCCGGTCAAAAATAATACTTTAGAATTCATATAGTCCTACAAAATATGTTTACACTTTTTTAGTGGATTTTATCGAAACAGTTTAACAGTTAAAAGATATACTCAATCATTAATATAAAACTTGCTATTTACAGGTAGATATAGCATTTCAATTTCATTGAAATCGGCATCTGCTATTACTAATCTCTCGCTCGTGAGATTGTAAGATAAAAATTCAATCAATGTAGATCTCACGTATATTAATATCAGAGTTTGATCAATGATGGTGAGATACACAGTGTATTACGTTTCTGTAGAACTATTTTTATCAGACAATGTAAATGCTATACAGTTTGGGAAGTAAATTTTTTAAAAATTGATATTTTATTCATAAATGTTATTATCAAATCCCTTAATAACACACTGATACGATTCCATTTTGTGTTAGTTAATGATAGAGTTTCATATAAATATTTAACTCTATAATGTTTTCGTTTTATTTTGCTAGATATGCAATATCGGTTAACGAGCAGTAACGAAGAATTGTGTAATATGTGTATATATGTATTATACATACATAATCGTGTACTAGAGCAGTGTTTCTCAAACTGGGGTCCGTGGACATTCAGGGGACTTTTATTGGAAGAAAAGAAAGCATATTATATTGTATTATAAGAAAAATGCTTCTCGTAGTATTTTATTCTTATTAAGAAGAACATTTATCTATCAGCTTTAAAAAATGGTCAATTTTAGTAACCGCCGGAGAAGTAAAATTTGTATGCATAACAGGCTTCTGTACATTCCAAAGCAATGATTCTTAACCTTGTTTTTCTACGTTTTCTTATCGACCCTTTCTATGCAATGTTTCTCAGAACAATGTTACTAAATATTATTATTAATAATTATTATGCGCGAGCAAATGCAGCGATCTTCACTTCTCAAATATCATAAAGACACTCGTTACATCTTCGTTGATCGCCATTTAACGTCCATTACTGAATGGAATCAAGTCAGTAAAGCACGATTTTTCCACATTATCGTCTTCGTTCATTATGTGTCCTAATTTGCATTTTTCTTTGTGTCAATGTTCCAGATTCTCTGCAGCGATGAGAAAAAATTCGATCTCGATAGCCCGGATGAATTTTACTTTTATTGCCGCGACCTTCGATACGAGCTGCGCTTTTGTTCAAAATAAAACTTTGTTGAAGGTTCTATAATAATGTTGAGTAGCATTTAACGTGATTTTAGAATCAAGAACCTTCCTTTGTTAGACCAATAGCAACATATAACGATAAAAAATCGGATATCATTTTTTTAAGAGAATCGTCGCAAAGAGGAGTTTCTATTTTTCAAACTCATAATGGTTTTTTCATTCGTTAATGGAACAAAACTTAGTTTACGAATAAATCTAAAAGTTCGATTCGTTATTCGCGAATAAATGTTTTTCGACTGACAGCGAACAGCATTCAATGAAAGTAGCAACTGGTCCAAGGGAGTGGGAGTTCTCGTTCCTGAAACCTCTTTCTCTGACCAAGTCGATTCGCTCAATTGTCAGATCATACTCTAGATTAGAGTTTCTCAAACTTTGTTTTCATAAGAAGCCCGTTATTAAGAAATTGTACTGTAATTATTAGGGACAGGTCATTTGAAATCTGTTTCCTGCTTTGAAATACATCGATTAATGAAAGCCTCTTAATACAAAAATTTATTTCCGTGCACCGAGGAACAAATGGCAGCGTTCAGAATCGAGTTGGGCAAATTTTATTCATGACTAACGAATAAAAACTTTAGATTTACTTGTTAATCTGCTTTTGTTCGTAATTTCACTCGACCGAATGTATTTTAGTTATGAACTCTGGTTGAGAATCTCCAGTCTAGAGTATTGTCGTATATTCATGACAGCCTGAAACGCTAGTAAATCAATGGTAATCCCCGGTACAAAGAAAATTAAATGTAATCGCGCAATAGAACCGTACATACGCTTCTCGCTTCCCATTTGTTTTTCTTTCGACCATAACGATACTAAACCATCATTTACACGAAGCAATTATTAAAAATGATGCGAGGCCATTGCAATACCATCGCTAGCCGGAAATCATTTTCACGATAAAATTAACCTTTCTAATTGAAAACCAAAATTACCAAAACCTATTAACGTCTGCATCACAGACATATTAAGGGAACTTCATACTTTGTTATCTTTCAAATAAAAGAACACAAAACGACATCCCGACTTCCGAAAATTCCAAATATTGCAACAGCTGTTCTGTTTTATATTCTGACGGACCAAAAACACAAATAACTTTGGTATAAAACTGTTGAACTTCTTTTAAAAAATCTGATAGAAAAGACAAACAATAAATATGAAAAGTTTATTATTTTTATCGACTCTGAAAGTACGCTTCTAGCATCAGAAGGTACAGTGATCATAAATTTCAATTATCAATCAAATTATCGGGAAAGATAACGAAATGATTAAAAGCAAACAAGCTACTGCAATGCTATTCAGATGGGTTTCATGTATATTGGAATTATGGGAGACGAAATTGCCGACAAAATTGCAAAAGGGGTTGAGAATTTATTAAAGTGTAACACCAATATTCCCTCTTACTATAAAGAGGTATACAGGGTGTTCGGCCACTCCTGGGAAAAATTTTAATGGGGGATTCTAGAGGCCAAAATAAGACGAAAATCAAGAATACCAATTTGTTGATGGAGGCTTCGTTAAAAAGTTATTAACGTTTAAAGTTCCGCCTATACTGAATTTTTTTCTCGAAAATGCGCAGCATTTCGGGGGTATATGTATTCACCAAAAATGATTGTAATCGACCCCTGCAACCGAAAATAATTTTTCCAGAACGATTTGAAATTTTTTTTTCCGTCGAAAAATTTCACACCTTCTCGAATTTTTTTCTAGAAAGTGGGTATGATTTCAAGGGTATGTCTATTCACCAAAAATGGTTGTAGTTGACCACCGTAACCGAAAATAATTTTTCCAGAACGATATGAAATTTTTTTTTTTGTCGAAAAAAGGCACCTAATTAGATTTTCGGTAAGGAATTTTTGTCTCGAAAGTGCGTAGAATTTCTGGGGTATGTGTAATGACCAAAAATGAAATTTTTTAATTTAATTGTTAATAACTTTTTAACGAAGCCTCAGTCAAGAAATTGATATTCTTGATTTTCGTCTTATTTTGGCCTCTACAGTCTCCCATTAAAATTTTTCTTAGGGGTGGCCGAACACCCTGTATAAATCCTTCGGTAAACTAATTAAAGGAAAATATAGATTCGATTAA